CTAGATGTTCTTGGGGGAAGACTGTGTTTATTAGTTCTTTTGCATAGATAAACCAATAGAGATTAGGAGATGCATAGTCACCATTCAATCCCACCCATCTTTAGTGGTCTATAGCAGACTTCTGTTTTACTTAATTTTTTCCATGAATTTATTTATCTATTTATTTATGTTACATCTCAATTGTAGGACACCTCCTCCCAGTCCTACCCTCACAAATTTCTTGTCTCATTATCACATTCCCTTCTCAGAGAAGTGGAGACCTACCATGTGTACCAATCTGCCCTGGCACCCACCACAATGGTATTTTCATGTTACCTTGGAGCAGGTCTTCTCTCCCGTGCAGCATACCTTCATTCAAATATTTTTTTTTATAAAAAGAATTTAAATTGACCTATCAAAAATGTCACATCACAATGGCTTTTTGATATGTCTTTAGTTTTGGTTGACTTTCCCTACCACTTTTCTTTTCCACATCCCCAAATTGTCTTCCATTTAAACTTTTTCAATACTTCTTCCACTGCTTTTTATGTCACAGGTGTTGTCCTGCTTTCGCCTTTAGAGGCCCTGAGTGTGTTCTCTTTTTCTTTTCTTTTATTTTTTCTTTTTTTTTTTTTTTTTGAGACAGGGTTTCTCTGTGTAGCCCTGGATGTCCTGGAACTCACTCTGTAGACCAGGCTGGCCTCGAACTCAGAAATCTGCCTGCCTCTGTCTCCTAAGTGCTGGGATTAAAGGTGTGTGCCACCACTGCCCGGCCTGAATTTGCTCTCTTATGAGCCCCTTTTTAATAAGCCATGACTTACATATGGGAGAGAAGTGTTTATATTTCTGAGGCCGTGTTACTTCATTTACAATATTTTCTTGTCCCATGCACTTACCTGCAAATCACGCAATTTCATCTTTAAGATGTTTTCTCTTTTTCACAACATGATATTTTCTAATGAAATATTTCGGAATGTCATACAATGTACCTAAATCACAATTGCTTCTGATCCCTCCAAGGTCCAATCTCTGACAAAAAAAAAATCCACCAAGTCTAATTTGTGTTGCCCATATACTCATTGGAGCATTGTCAAACTCAAAGTGGCCAGCCCATTAAATAAAACAGTCCTTCTATAACCCCACCGTATCAGAAGCCAACAACTGTGATGAGCTGCATTTCAGAATCTTTTTCATGATTTAAAACATTCTCAATAGCTTCCTGTCTTGACTGTTTCCTCTCTCTGTCTCCTTCTGTCCCCCTCCTTCCTTCCCTCCCTCCCTCCCTCCCTCCCTCCCTCCCTCCCTCCCTCCCTCCCTTCCCCT